AAAAAAAATTCGCTATATTAGAAGACATAATTTTTTCGGTATAAAATTTCACGTCCTCATTTTTTTTGGTATATTTTTGCGTATATTTCCTAGTAAAGAAAAAAAGAAGACGTAATTTTGTATTGTTCAGTATATGTTGTGTGTATATGGAGTATATGTTTAATATATTAGAAGATTTGTTTGTATATGGAATATAAGTAAATGTTATAATATATTTGTATATACTTTTATGTATAAAAGTAAAAAAAGAAAAAGATATAATTTTTTTGTGGAAGACTTGTTTTTATTGCACATATACTGAATATGTACTAACATAAACTCAAAATATACCACCTGTCGGCTGCGTGAATTATAAATATTTGCAACATACACTGAATATATACTAACATAAACTCAAAATATACTGCCTGGCGGCAGCTTTGAATTACAATGTACAAGTTGCATGAATTAAGGAATTAATAAATGAATCAGTTATTATTTTTCTTTTCTCTCTCTTAATCAAAGTCCAAAAAAAGGGGGATGGAAGTTGAATATATATGGTAACTGCTATTGATGCAATCTCATAAATAAATTAACTTCATTAGGTATAATTGAAAATACTTTCATATGAAGGTAAATTTGAAAATATTTGTATATCTTATAGGAGGACTAAAAATTTCCCTTTATTTTCTGCAATAAATTGAGCCCACATATATTTGGCAGCCAAAGCCCACTTTTATAAATGTCATGTCCTCACAAACAATGGATATTCGAGGGATTATATTTTTGTGCCAAGTGAATAAAATTGACCAATTACTCGCATTCACTACTCTATAATCTATATGCAGTGATTTGTTTTTCAAAACGTGAGGCAAGAATTGTATTTTTTACTTCATTCTAAATGTGTGGTGTAAATTATTAGCATTATATATGTTTTATTTATGATTCTTTGTTACTGTATTATTATTATTATTTCAATATTAAGATTTAAATAGCTTTTATGAAATTGTGCGAATTTCTTTGAACTGAACTTGGGAAACATGTCACTGTAATATATTACACTTCTCTGCAATCAGATTATAACAATTAGATAAAAAATCAATGAAATGCTCGAAAGCGAGCTTTTGACATTCGTCGTTAACAAATCATATAACCAAGGCGAACCATGTTTATAATATTACATTGAAAATTTGTGAATAAATGAATCTTGATTGTGTTGGGAAAAATACGCTGAAATTTCCATGAAGTCGGATCTATAAAAAGTGAAATAAAAACGAAAAATTGGACACACCAATTTGATAACGGAGTTCGGCCAATAATGCCTACGTCTCCGGACTACTGCAGATATTTTATTGGGAAAAAAAAATACACTCGTGTTTACAAAACACTCGCAAACTCACTCACAACTCACAACACAAATACACACGGAAGCTAAAATTTTCTTTTCTAGCTCACTCTTTTTCTCTCTTTCTCTGTATTTTGTTGTTGTTTGGTGTGTCTATCCATCTGAATTTCATCTCTATTTATAGAGAGAAATGCACCCTTCTTTTTCAAACAAATGGTGCTTCTTTTCTTCAAATGTGTGCTGTCAGACGGAGT